TTTAATGTTAACTTTTTAATTTAAGTTGAATTATATATTTATATCAAAACATAATTTGCATTATTTGTATATTTTTTAACAATTGCATATTTCTATTTTTCTTGTTTTAAATTTTTTAACATTTTTTTATGTGTCTAGTAGTTAAAAATTTAAATCAAAAAGTAATTTTATGTAGATTTAATAATAAAAATCTGAAAGACTGTTTTTTAAGAATAAAAATCTTCGATGCAAAAAATTTATTTGTTCCTTTTGTAGTACTCTTGAACAAATAAAATATAATAGATTGAGAACACAAACTGTCAATTAAGTATGAAAATTTAAACATATAATGGGATTGCAGAGAGTAGCACAAAAGTTTGTAATTAAACAGTGTACCGTCAACTGGGGTGAATATAAACGCTTTTTGAACATTTTTGCATCATGGAAGAAAACTGTTGGCCTAAATGCTACCATTTTTTCTGTAACAGATCATTATACTATTCAGCTTTCTGTATTAGTCGTAAGCCTGATCAACACTATGCAGTAAATTCCTTAGTTTTCTGGTTTTATACGAGCATATACGTATTTTCGAAACGGGGTGAAAATGAACGGCCGATTTGGGGTGACTTTGAACACTACGTATTATTTCTATATCCTACTATATGGCTATATTACCTTATTACAATGGGGGAAAAAACTGTTAAAAATCAAAACAGAGAACAGAAAGTTTATTTTACATAGAATATATTTTAAGTTCATGTGAAAAATCAGCCTACTATGTTTAAAACCTAGTTTTTTTAATATATTAACATGTATCACAATATTTACAAATATGCTCTATATAAAAACAGAACATCAAATATCATTATCCTCAAATTCTTCAAATGACTCACACATGCTGCATACAAAGTTGATATTTTCAATATTGAGCTCATAATAATCATCTTTATTATAAATGAGGCCACAACACTGGAGGTGATATGGTTTACTGCATATTTCGCATTGAATCCACGCGTCGTCGCTTAACTCTACACATTTTTTGTTACAAAAAGTAAAATACCAATCATTATCTGTGTTGTTGCTTAGCTCTGTTGAGCTTGATGGAATTGACTCAACTAAAGAATGAATTTTTTTACCCGGTGCCATCTTTGGACCACGTGGTTTGCGTTTTGTTGGTGGATTTGCGCCTAACCCTAGATTGTTTTTTTAAATATCTAAAACGGATTTGTTAAGAACCATAACGGTCTTTTTACCACCAGGGTCTTTAGATTTTCCTGGAAGACGTTTTATAACTTCTGTTCTGTCCATAGGGTAGGTTCCCGTTGCTCTGAATCCGCTAATCAATGCTACTGGCTGCAAAGTATTATTTAGTTTATTTAAAAGTGTACGTAGATGTTCCTTTGGGATAGCTCCTTTAATACGACTTTCTAGTCTCCACTTCAAAAGAGTACTCCTCCATGACTGCTTTAATCCTCTAAAAACAGCAACATCTAATGGTTGGCAGAGATGAGTTGCATTTAGGGGCATTGTTATAAACCTAATGTTATGTTGAATTGTGGCTTCAATAACTTCAGGAGAAAAATGTGAACCAAGATTATATCCAATCAACAGTGTTGTTGCGGCCTTTGAAATAGTAACAGGCAAAAATATTTACATAAACCATCTGGTAAATGTCCTACTATCAAACCACCCATTAGGGGTGATGTCGTAAACAGTTCCAGTTGGTCCACCTTGAGTCTAACCCTGGTAAAGATTCATTGCTTTGTAAACCACCGTGACACAGTGGGCCAGTGATTTTTATACCAGCGTGACACAGTGATTTTTATACTTTTGTCCAGTGACTAGACAAAAGTATAAAAATCAAAGTCAGAATTTTGATGTCATAATGGTTTTAAACCTTGTTATAGATATTATGAAACAATTTAAAACTTTTTATATACACCTAAAATTTTAATGAATAGAATAAATAGAATAGCCACATAATAAATTATGTGGTTAAAGTATATGCAAACGTAAATTAGAAAAAAATATTATAAAGCAAATAATGTTGTTTACAAAATCTATGGTAATAATGTAACAATGTATTAAATATTGCGCATTGAAAATATTTTATTGTTGAACTATCTATTTTCTGCATTTTAAGAGTTGTTAGATTAAAATAGGTACGAAAACAAATAAGTCATAATAATTTTAAATACTTCATTAAAAGAAAATTTGAAGTGTATTTTTTGGTTTTAAAAATACAAAAAATAGATTAAAGCTTCAAAATATGTATACAATACATATTTTGAAGCTTTAATATACATATTATAAAAATATGTTTAATTTAGCTGCTAATATTTGCTAATTAATTTTTATTTGCAATGATTTGCAAAAAAAATGTATATAAAATATAACATCGCGAACAAAATAATACAATATGTTATAATATAATGAATATTTTGATTCAAAAATAAGACTATTTAATTATAGTTAATATTATAATAATTAAAAGAAAATATTTCTACATAAAATAAGTGAAAACCTTTGTTTTATTTTTAACTTTAGACAATTATTATTACGTTAAGCATTAATAGAAATCAAATCCATTTATTTATAAGAGAAAAAAAATTATCATTATCAAATGAAAAAAATAAGCTGGTAGTTTTTAATTTTATTGGTGAACAACTTGGCAATACTAAATGTAAGGTTCAATTTTCAAAATTTATTTTTGAATACAGAAAGCCATGGGCTGCACGTGGACGTTACAATGTATATTTTTGGATAGAAATTTAGCCTGGCTTCGCAAAGACTTTATTATTCCCCAACAAACCTTTCCTTTATGCAATACAGAAACTACACCTAAATTATCTCTTGGCAGGCCTTGTAAATCATTTGAAGAATCATCTGATAAATCTAAAAAGAGGAAAGTGTCAAAACTTGAATCTTTGGCAAGTTCTTCAAATGAGCAGTTGTTTGCTAGCAGTTGCAAACTTTGGAAACAAGAAAGGAGAAAGCATGCTAAGGTAGTTAGAAATTTATCAAAAACTCAAACTGATGAAAATTTTTAAAATATTCCCAATGAAGCCTTAACACTCATCTTAGATAATAATCTGAGCAAGTCTGATTATCAGCGCCTAAGGAACAATGTTGTAAAAAAAGGCTGTAATTTATATCCAGCTTATAATAATGTACAGGAAGCAAAAATACTTTGTCTTCCAGAGAATAACTTATGGATTGTCACTGACAATTCTGCAGAGGTCAACATGCAAGCATTGGTCAATGATGCAGCACTACGTTTAATAGAATGTTAGGCAGAAGTTATAAACTCCTTCGAAGATCTTCAACGAATGACCCTATGGTCCAAAGTTGGCTTCGATGGATCAACTGGCCAAAGGCTTTATACTCAAACAACAACAAATGAAGAAAACAGAAATATTACAAATGAATCCAGCTTATTCCTCACTTGCTTTGCTGCAGTTATCTGGATATTGTAATGGCAAAAAGAAGATTATTTGGTCCAACCCTCATCCATCATCCACTTTATTTTGCTGACCAATAAGATTCTTCTATAGAAAAGAAACATCAGATGTATTAAAAGAAGAAGAACTATTTCTTTACAACTCAATAGAAAAATTATTTACTACAAAGTATGAAAAATTAACTGTTCTGCACAAAATTTAAATTACAATAATGGATGGGAAAGTTGCCATAGCACTATCCTCAGCAACAAAATCATCGCAATGCTGCTCAGTTTGTGGTTGCAATCCAAAAAAAATGAATGACTTAAATGCTGCAAAAAATCTTCCAATTTCTAAAACTGGACTCAATAATGGGCTTTCAACTCTTCATGCATGGATCAGAACTATGGAACTTCTTCTCAAAATAAGCAACAAATTAAAAACACAGAAATGGTCAACACGAGGATCATCAGAAAAAAAAATTAATTTAAGGTAGAAAGTCATCAATTCAAAAGAAATTTTGTGATGAAGTTGGGCTTTTAATTGATTTTTCAATGACTTGTGGTTCAGGATCTTCAAACACTGGCAATACTGCTTAACGATTTTTTCAAAATGCAGAGAAGACTTCTGAAATTCTCTAACTAGATGTCACCATCATTAAGAAATTGCATGTAATTTTGTGCACTTTAACGTCACAATATGTTATTAATTCTTCTCGATTTAGAGACTTCTGCATGCAAACAGCAGAACGATATGTGAACCATACAGCAGCCGTCACATGTGATACATCTATTCGATAGAAAATCAAATTTCGAGTATTACAACGCAAACTTTTTTGACGGCTGCCGTGTCGTTCGTCGGTAAATTGCAAAAAACTCCGTCACAAAACACTTTTTATAGAACAAAAACGTCGTTTAGAGACAAACTTTACAGCAGCCGTTACATATCATACATCATTTCGATAAAATTTGACGGTGAATGCAACAAAGCATACACTTTGAACTGTTGTTGAATACTTTGTCCTTAAATCGCAAAAAACTAACTTATGATAGCGATTCCACGGCTCAGCGAAAAACATTTGACGTTTGACGAAAAACGCCGATTTTTCATAAACTTTACTCTCTTATATCTTTTTGTAGGGTTAAGCAATCACCTTGAGGTTTTTTGTATCAATTAGTGTTACTCAACCTCTTTCCAGCTATATGTAGAAAGTACTGTGCTTTATATGGCTTCACTTAAATATTATCAATATCCTGAGACCACTTTTGTTAAAAAAACTAGCCGCGGAAACGTTTTTTTAAACGAAGCTTTTTCGGGTAAGGATTCCTATGTACCAAAACACATCCAATTTGCATTAAATTTTCCATATAGATTAAAAAAAAGATGAGGAATTCAATGGAATGTGGACCTTTTTGATATTTGCTCTTATTTGTTTAGTTTTCAGTGTTGTAAAAGTTTGTTGTCAGTTTTTTTGGGAAAAAAAACCTTTTTTCAAAAAGGTCCAGGTGGAAAAGACAAGTATAGCCTTTCCTCTATCCAAATCAAGTATTTATTTATGATTTCTTAATAATTTGATACTTAGGAAATGTATTTATAAATTATGTATATTTGGCTTTTTTTCAATTCGCCGTTTTTTGTTATGATTTTTGCGTTTGTTTTTGTTTGTGATATTTTTTTTGGCATTCGCAATTTATTAATGGATTTTTTGATGTTTACTTTTCACTTTCTAATCTAAAGCTTATTTATACACTTAAGAAGTAGTTAAATAAAAAAAATATTTTTTTGAAAATATGACATAACTGCTTTATATAGCATAAAACTCTTGCTTTTATTCCTTCCATCATTTTTGTTTTTCAAAATAGAATAAAATTTTCATTCTGAGAATGATATTGAAAGTGAAACTCTTTAGATTTCAAGCTGTTAAAAATATTTTATTTTAATTTTTAAAGGTATTTTATTTGGATTCTTCCACAAAATTGCAAGCTGATTGTGTGTCATTAGTTGTTTTCAAAACAGTGCTTTCAAAATTGTTTTTATTTACCATGCTTTTTGTTGATCTGATTGGGAACGCTTTCTGGCCAAGTCAAGTTATTTTTCCAAATTTAAATTTACTTGCAACAATTGGTTAATCTTACGATCCTTTCTAACATCTCTTTTTTTTTTTCTTTTTGGACATTATATTTTGGTAAAATCCCTTAATTTTTTCTTTTATATTCATTACATCTTATCTATTTTGAAATTCAAGGTGCTTAATTCTCTTTTTGTATTTGTTTATTGGATGGGTCAAATCGCCAGATAATAAAGGTAGTTGTTGATCGAAATTGGAAACTGGGAAATTCTCTTTATTTACTTGAGTTTCAAGAAAACAATCATCAGAATGACTTTTTAAAGGCTTGTCTATAGTAGAACTTTGAGTAACAGAGCTTGAAAAATCATCATAAGTAGTTTTCAAGTTTAAATCAGAAAAAAAACTTAAAGTAGCAGAAATATCTTCTGGAACAAATTCACTAGAATTTGTTTCAGAATATGTTTGGCTAGAAGTCAGGATAGAACAATTAACAGAAGATTGCAAATCATCAACTTTGTTAAATCAAGCGAGATTATTTTTTATTTTAAGTATCTGTATTTTCAACAAGGCTTGAAGCAACCATTTTTAGAGTTACTGGAAGACCCAATATGAAGTAAAGTAACATTCCAGTAACTTTCAAAAAACCATTTTTAGGAAGTTACTGGAAGACCCAAGATAAAGATTATAACGCAAGATAACGATTAACAGATGGCTTAAAAGATTTATATGAATCTTTTAAGCCATCTGTTAATCAAATGATATGAATCAGGAAAACAAGATGAATGGTTAGTATCACAAAAAACTGATGATCAAGGAAAAAAAACTATACCAATAAGAATTTTTGGAGCACTTAAAAACAATAAAATACTATATTATTGTATACAAATACTAACTTAGCAATGATTTGTATATAAGGTTTCCATAAGAGGTCAGTACAAAAAGATAGTTAGAGACGATTTAAAGTAGAAGACACAGTAACAATGTTGCCATTCATGAATATAGGAGTATTAACAAGATTGCAAATACTTTTTTAAAACTTCGCCAGATACACCATATCATCTAGAGCAATAGAATGTGCATCACCGCTTCTATCTAATGTTAATTTCGAACCTTTCTGTAACAACAGGTAACAGGTCCAAAAACAGATGATTAGAATCCATATGTTTCTTATATCATCAACAAATAGAGCCAACTTTGCGTTTTTCAGGATGATCATTAATGTTGGTTAGAAATGGTAAATGGCTGAGGATAGAAGTTCACCTTGTTAGTTAAGTATTGACGCTAGCATGAATTTGCAGCGTTAAGTGCCACAGGTAATGTGTGTTTTGTGATTGTGATGTTATTGTTGTGATGTTTTGTGTTAATAGACAACTTGGCTTACCTTCTCGCTGGTGTCTATCGTTAAAAATGATTATTAGGTTGTTTTGTTACTCAAACTCTCTACCTCTAATCATTCACTAAAAGCCAAGAGATAATTTTTAGAATAACACCATTTTTTGTTTTAATGTTGTTTTCACTTTTTTATCTTAGTTGTTGTCAATAGTTCACATAAACAATCTCAAAGAGTAAGTTTCTTACTCTATATTTATTTAGTTTTAATTGTTAATTTATAATTATTTTTTATTTTTAAAACCAATTAATCTGTGTGTTTTAATAATAATTTTATTACAATTTTAGGTTGATTTCTGCTTTTACACCTGCTAATGCTGTCGTGAGTACTCAAAATTTTAGGAAGTTCTATTGCTGTAAGTTATTTTCATTTTAATTTAAATTTTAACTTTACTAAAGAATCTTCTGTCTGTTAAATAGGTAATTCTGAATGATTTAAATATATTTCAATGCCCATACTCATTTACTAAACGGTTTGTAAATTAAGCAATAGTTTTAAACAGATGAATTAATTGGATTCCACGATCCTTTACGCATATTTGCATTGAGTTTTTATAATATAACCCAAATTTTTTCTAAAAAACTAGGTAAATAAGTAAAAACACTTCAGTCTGTAAAATTAACAATTTTTGGATAATTTTGACAGATGCAAAAATATTATGGCATTTTTATTATAGTTTTGTGTCCCTATCAAAAATTTGAAGTCAAATTTAATAACAGTTGGAAATTATCAACTATATTTAAACTCAAATAGGTTTGTGCAATATTGATTTGCCAATAGGTTGGTGCAACCCTTTTGTAGTAATTTACTGACCGGTCTGTAAATTATGCAATAACTTCAAATTGATGTATTTTACAGATTCCATGATTCCTTTATGCATATTTGCATATTGTAACCTTAATTTTTGTTGTTCATTACACAATTAAATAAGTAAAAACACTTCAGTCTGTAAAATAAATGATTCTGTGTGATCTCAATAGATTTAATAAAAACTAGATTACTATTTAAAATTTCAAGTCAAATGTAATAACGGTTCAAAAATATCAAACATATTTAAGGTCAATATCCTTAATTGGTGTGTAAATCTATTTTTCTTTAATTTACTGACCGGTGTGTAATTTATGAAATAATTTTACTGACAGGTCTGTAAATAATAGTTTTCAAATGATGTATTTTTTGGCTTCCATGATTCCTTTATGCATATTTGCATAGTGCAACCCTAATTTTTTTTCTTAATAACACAATTAAATAATAGAAACCTTTCAGTCTGTAAAATAAACAATACTAGATAATCCCAACAGATTTAATAAAAACTGTCGGGAAAAACTGGCTCACTATTTAAAAATTCAAGTCAAATGTAATAACGGTGCAAAAATATCGAAAATTAAAAAATTACAAACTATTTAAAGTTGATATGTTTAAATTGTTTGAACAGCCCATTTTGTAGCAATTTACTGACCAAACAGTAATTTATGTGATTATTCACTGAGCATTTTTTTAAGTAAAATTTTGGTTTTTTATTTTCTCATAGTTCTTTGATCACTATGAAAAAGTCAAAAGTAATAACGATTTAAAAGTTATTCAAAAGTCAGTTTGACCGCAAAAATATATAAATTAGTAAAAATCCTTGGTCTGTAAAATAGATGATTCTGGTCAATCCTGACAGATTTAAAAAAAAAATTTTTGGAATTTTATTTCCTTATAATTGGTTGGTTACTATGGAAAATTTCAAGTCGAATGTATTATCGGTTCCAAAAGTTATTCAAAAGTCAGTATGACCCCAAAAACATATAAATTAGTAAAAACCCTCGGTCTGTAAAATAGATGGTTCTGGTCAATCCCGACATATTAAAAAATTTTTTTTTCGGATTTTAACTTCCTTATAGTTGATTGATCACTATGGAAAATTTCAAGTCAAATGTATTATCAGTTCAAAAGTTATTCAAATGTCAATAATACTATCATTTTCGGTGCCATTTCGCCGCAAATTTCCCATACTTAAGCCCTATACCTTTTGTAAAAAAATCACCCGTTTTTTGACCACAAAAAGTTTAATAACTTTTGATCCGCTTAACTTCAAAGGTCGAATGACCCCTCATTTTAAATTAATAAACAATCTGAATGAATTAATTAATAAAGTTAAGAACCGTGCAGAAGAGTGCATGTAATATTAACTTTTTTATATTTTTTATTGTATAATATATTGTAATTTTTTTAGATTAACTGAAAATAAAAAAAATAGAAGCCATATATGCACATGTCGATAAGGCTATCTACAGGTATAGGAGACCTATGGAAGATCAAAAAAGTGAAGCCTTACGAGGCTTTATTCGTAGATAGCAATTCGTTTTTTAATTTAAAAAATATCGATGTTGTAGATGAGAAGGAGGATTACGATAATGATGATGAGATGGATGCTGAGGAATATGATGATAATGATAAAAATGATGATGATGATGTCGATGAACATGACGATAATAACAATGATAAATCTATGGAAATAGACAATATAGATTTTTTAAATTAATTTATAATAATTTGTATTTTTATTTTGCTTTATAATAATAAATATATATTTTTTTCATATTGCTTTTTTAAATGTTGAGACTTTAATAATATTGTAACAAAACAAGTATTAACACAATAAAACTTTTTTTTTTTTTTTTTTTTTTTTAGATTCCTAACAAAAAAAATTAAACTTATAAAAATTATTAAAACAAGATATGGTTAATGGTTAATTAACGTGGTCGTCAGTTGCAACAAACGAAAATACTTATAAAGATAGCAGAAGATACGGAACGTTAGATTCGGAAGATACGGATCCGATAGTTATAAACTGTTAGCATAACACTTCTGTTCACAATTGTTATGAATGCGAGATTGTCACTTCTATTAATCCTTATTTTAAACCTGATATGTATGATTTTATTAAACTTTTTTAGAAATAATTAAAAAAATGCATTGAATCACTGTTGACGATAAAGATTTATTTGATTTATATTTATAAACATTTATTATTGTAAAACAAGTATTATCAAAATAAATTTTTTTCTTTTTTTTTAGATTCATAACAAAAAAAAATGAAACTTGTTCAAAATGATCAAACAAGATATGTCAGTTACAACCCTCAAGAAGCGAGAATACTTATAAAGATAGCAGAAGACCGAAAGTTGTAAAGTGTTAGCAGAATTTCATCGTATTGGTGTTTTTGTAGACGAACAAATTCAAAAACGCACAAATAATTTTACAGATAAAAAACTCTGAACAAATCAATAATAATTTTGAAAACTTTGTTAAAAGTTTAGTATGAGAAAAAAATTTTACATTAATAAATTTTTTCATTCAATATATTGTCTCTTTCATTTTTTATAATATGATAACATTCCAATACATCTTTTAGAAAATATAATCCTTTAACTAATCCTTCACAATAATAACACAATTGTTCAACTATTAATTTTAAACTATTTACATAGTTTATTTTTTTATACAATTTGTCTATACACGTATAATAATAATAAAATGTCTTTAACACATTAAGACTATGTTCAATGACTTCACTACAGTTATGATAACACGTGTCGGAATAAAATACGCGATACGGAAGACATTTAAATAACATATCAAGAACTTTTATCAACTCTATTTGATATGTCTTTATAATTTTTGGATCTTTAATATAAAAACTGTATACTCTTTTACAACTATCCAATTCGCTTTCTTCGGCTAAGAGAACTTTATCCATTACAATACCTTGATTTTAATGCGTTTCCTGTAAATGTTTTTTTAAATCTAAATTGACTTGATACAAATATAATAAACAATCGTCCGTCGCATTAAAAGTCATTTTGATAAATGATTTTTTTTATTATAATATACAAATATATTTTACAAATGTTTTATTATTTACAAATATTTACAATTATTTACAAACAGTAACAACAACCGCGGCACCGTTCAAATAGTCCTTGCACGTACGGGCACACGGTTGTTGTACAACAATGATTGTGCACGCTCTCTTCGTCACACAGGCAACATCCAAAACATATCACGCGTCTTGGTGTTGCAAAATACCGATCGTTTCTAATCATTATGTCATCGTCCTCCAAATGACGGTCTATTCTTATCATTATGTTATCTAATATACGCACTCGTTCTAAAAAAATTATTTTAAACTATTAGATTTTTTTTAAAAATATATCATATTTATAAAAAATAATACTAATTTACCGTCATCAATTTCTGGAATATCGTCAAATATTTCCAATTCATCTTCGCATATTTGTTGATCAATTCTCTCAAGTGGTCTTGTTTCAACCACTTGAGGAATATAAGCTTGAGGAATTTTATAAGTTCCTTCTGGAACGTAAGGTTTAACAATCTAGAAAAAACACAACCACTTCAAAAAATATTAAATATAAAACATTTTTTTAAATAAAACATTTAATAAACTTACAGCTACAGGTTTTACAAACAATTTTCGTTTAACTTTAGTTTTTTTATTCTCTTCCATTTTTTTTACTTATGACACTTTTTGTACTTTTGGCATTTTTTAACAATTTAATTTGACAAAATGTTTTTTTATATAGTTTTTTGTAACGCTTGATTACCTTTAAACAAAAGAAAAAATTAATTTGATTTTAAAAGATTAAAAAATCATTATGACACGCTCATGACGTGAACCTCGAGGTCGGGAGGGACGGAGGGAGGGAAGAATCCCAACTTGATTTTGAGTAATAGGTATATCATCAAGCGTTCGTTATTATATAACGAACGCTTAATGATATACCTATTTACGATATAAAACATCAATGATATACGGCAGTAATATTATAGTGCTTAATGAAGCCTTAAAAACAGAGTTGGAAATTTATGTGGAGAAGTTTCGGTCCACCATAAATCCAAAGATAGGTAAAACTTTTTCAATAATCTTAAGTATTTTTGTAATGTAAGTATTTTAATAACATATTTTTATCATATTTTATATATATTTTTATCATATTTTAATATATTTTTATAATATATTTTTATCGATGTAGGCAACGATAAGTCATCCCCAGTTTTTGTCAGCAGCCGCAATATGGCACTGACGCATTCAGCAGTTGCTAACGGCATGACCACGTGTTTTAAACGTGCTAAAGTCTTTGAATTCAACCCTGAGGAACAGTTCACGAATCTGAGAATTTGTCCAACTCGGATTCGTATTTCCATTGCGACTGAAATGTGTGGCTTTGGAGAAGAAAATATGGACCAATTTGCCAGGGTAAATTTAACTTATACCAATACGAATCTATGTGACACATATTTGTCACTATGATATGTATTTATAATATTGTTTTGTGTTCGTAGCAATACATGAAAAATCGTACGGGAACGACTGCCACATTCTATGTGCGTCGTTATGCTAATAGGGAAGCAGCAGCTATAAGTTGGCGTGTAGGGACAAAGTTCAAGGTTTTAAGAGAAATAAACAGCACTTCAACACCAACCCAAGTTAAAAGTAAGTGTTTTTAAAAATATCATTACTGCAAACATTTATTCCTTTTTATACTTTTTGTTATTTACAATTAAAGGTTGGTTAAAACAAAACAATAAGTTAATTGCACAGGAGTTTGGTGTTGTTGATGAAGACAACGAGGCAATGCACTTTTTGGGTAAAGACGAGCCCCATACGATATCCGTCACAACATCAACAGGTTGATATTTTTGATTATGTTTAAATTTTAAAGTTGTTTATTTAGTTTTGAATTCAAACAAAACTTTATTTTAGGTTATAAAAGAATTCGCAGAAGCAAAAGTGTCGTTGCTGACCCAGAAGGTAAGGCATTTTTTGTCTAATATTTTATATTGGAAGAATAGTTTTCGTTGACACGTATATTAACTATATTATCTTCATTATATTTTAGATAGTCATATGGAAGACAGTGGCAATGAAAATCAAGATATTGATTTTATTGTAAAAGATGTTATGCAGGGTATGTTTATAAAGATTTTTTGTGTTTTTTTGTTGTCTTTGGCATGTGATTTAATTTTTTTTATATAAAGCTTGTATACTTTTTTCAATTGTAGATAAAAAGCAGAATACACGTGAGGTTGAAGCAATTGCTTCACATAAAAGTCAAAATTTATCTAAACTATAAGATAACCTTTGGGATGAGTTGTCAAAAAAAAGCCCTAACCCAGAATCAAGTGATTCTGGGGAAGAAACACCAGGTATTTTAGATTTTATTATCTTTATATTTTAATAAGTTAATTTAATTAAGTATACATATTCACATAAAGTAAAACATTCACATAAATTACTAATTTGATAAAACATTTAATAAAATAAATTTACTCTTTTTAGTAGTTGAAAAAAGTCCGAGATCCAATGAAAAGGTTGACTCTATTGACGACATTAAAAAAAGTGAGAATTAAGTTTTAAATTTTCTAATAAATGATTTAAATATACTGTTCATAATGAAAAAATTAAAAAATGAACAAGGTTAATGTTATGTCTTTTGAATTTCTCAATAAGTAAAGAAGTATACATAAGTTTTTATACATAGAATTTAACAAATTCTATGTATAAAAACTTATGTATACTTCTTTACTTCGCTCCCGTTCTAAAACAAACGAAGACTTGTTAAGGAGATTGATGTGTTCATTTGATCCAATTATTAGTAATTTGAGAACACCACACCAAAGAAATTAGAAAGATTTTCCAGATGGAGTGCTAGAGCTACTAAAAGAAGTACCATTTAAAGATTTTGTGTAAGTATATTATATTATTACATTTTTACTGCAATCTTACTTAAATTGTGTTTTTCTTTTCATTTTTTCTGCTTTTCTGTGTATTATATGTTTATTGATACAAATTAACGATGTACTAACGACATTTTGTTAACCCCATTGTAACAAAGGATATTGTAACTAAGCAATATAAGTATCCATAGCAACAAAATAAAAAAATAACACCTTCATAAAAAGCGGAGACAACATATTATTACTCATGCTAATTTTAATAAATATAGCACTCGTGAAATATCTGGAAATACCAAAAAATAGGTTGTTGCTAAGCAAAATAAAGGTATCCTTAGCAACGAAATAAAAAATAGCACCTACATAAAAAGGGCAGACATCGTATTAGTACTCATTATTATTATATTATTAATACTTTATTAATCACCCTCTGTAAAATAAATTTACAAGGTAAACCCACAAGCTAAGAAAAAAAGATAAAAAAAGTTTTATTTAGGAATGTTTTGTTCAAGACACTTTTTAAAAATTGTTCGCTGTTCTTTTACATTCCAACATTGAACCGCGTGTACCAAAATATGAAGAGTAGCTTTAGGAATTACATCCTCTAAGACTTTAAGTTTTACTTTTTAAAATATACTAAATATAAAAAATAGCTTTAGAAATTACATCCTCTTAGACTTTAAGTTTTACTTTTTTTTAACCAGCATTTAGGTTTTCATATTCAGTTTATGATTATCACATAATTCTTTTATATCATCTAAAAAAGAAAATTTAGCTGAACAGTAGTTAAGTTGGGAGTTAATGATTCCAAAGATTACTTTATTGTTTAAAAGGCGAATAAATAGATTTATTTTGTTTTGGTGTATATAATTTGAAATCTCCTTAATTTTAAATAGAGAGTGTATATAGTTTTTACTATACTTGGAGACATTAAAAATTGATTTAACTGAGTTCCTTTCAAATGTGTCGAGTTTTTTCATTGTTGCATCTTTATTTTCACAGAGCTCTAGACCGTGGGTTAACGTTGGAACTGCTAATGATTTATATAATTGGATAATAGAACTTGGATGTGCGAACCGGATTCCAGATTGAATAAGAGTTTGCACTGTTGCTCGGAAATTTGATACCCTACTATCAATATTCATTCTATTTAGTGAAGCGAAAATTTTTTTTTCTGTATCCCAAGTAAAGCCGAGATGATTAAGTTTCTCACGAAGTATAATTTGATGGTTGTTTAGAGATATTGTGCAGTTCATTATTTGTCTTTTTCCAGAGAGCAAAAGTTCCGTTTTGAAAGCATTATCCCGTTTAAATTGTTGTATATGTTACACGTTAAAATAAGTTTTTTTTATGCCCGAGAGAGTAGAACTGAGAAGAATGATGTCGTTAGCATAAGCTACAACACAAGTCAAGTTTCCATATATCGTAGTACCACCAATTTCATTATTTTTTATAGTTTCGAGTAGCTTCTCAGCGTATATGTTATATAGGTAGGGTGAGAGAATCGATCATTGTCTCACTCCTTGCTTAAGGTCAAATGAGACTGATTTGCAACCTAGGTATGAGACAGTTGCACTACCGCTACGGTATAAAGAAGATATAGTGTTAACTATTTGGAGAGGTAGATTTTTTCAAAAAAAAGCTTATTAAAAGGAACATCCCAGTTGCAGCTGTCAAAAGCCTTTTCAGCATCTAGTGAACATAAATAAACAGGCGAATTGTTGTGATTATAATGCTTAATTGTTTCGCTTACAACAAATTCAGCATGGAGGGTTGAGCTCTTATTATTAAAACCAAATTGAAGTTGATGAGTTTCTTTTATCTCCGAGCATATGAGTAAGATAAGGTATTCTAAGAGTTTAGTAAATATTGGAATAATACTGATGCCGCGGTAATTGGATCGGTAAGTGATTTTTTATAGGATAACTAGAGGTATGATAGTTGGTGTTGACATTGATGTTTGGGTCCATCCGTGATTAATTGAAAAGCGAAATAACTTTCTTAACCATTGTGTTAGTGCTTCACATTGGGCATGTTTTAAATGTTCTGCTGAGATATTGTAATGGTCCTTGCACTTATTTGATTTTAGACATGAAATAGCTGTTTTAGTATTTTCATCGGTAATTAACCCCTTAACTGTGTCTGAAGATTTATCCGTCTTTCAATGGTGTAGCTCTGTGTGTGTCTGACGGATATATCTGTTTAATGAAACTGTAGGCTTGTGTGTGTCTGACGAATATTTCTGCATTTTGTAACTGTTGCACCGTTTGTGACTGACGGAAATTTCCGTCTTTTATATGAGTTAAATAACAGTTTATATATGATATGTTATATGGGTCTTTGTTTACTCATATCATGTAATAGCTTTAAGAAGAAGAAATTATTTGCTCATCAGCAGATGATGATATTGAAACTGACCTTGTTGGTATTGATGTCATGCAATTAGATCAAGATAATACAAACGATGAACCGATTTGGATAAATATAGATGGTTATAAAGCAAGTTCTGCTAAATTTGAAGGTGTTCCAGGACCTAATCCAAGTTTTCTAGTTGATAGTAGTCCTTATACTATATTTGAAGCATTTGTAACAGACGACCTCGTTGATCTTATTGTCGAACAAAGTAACCTTTTCGCAGTACAATATCTCAAAAATAATGTAATTAAAGGTATATCTCGAGTGCAAAAATGGACACCCTTAGACGACGTCAGACTCTATATAGCTTTTATTTTGTATCGTGGAATCTTATGGAAACCAACAAATGCAATGTATTTTTCAACAAAGCCTCTGTTTGATTCAACATTAATAAGAAATGTTGTGTCGTTAATAAAACACTGTACTATACTTAAATATATATATTCTTATAAGTATGTCATCTTTATTATACATTTTAATATAGCCACGTATGTTTATATATATAAAAACATTGTTCCTATTTGTCCGCATATGACTAAGGATCACGGCTTCACATCCCTGAAACATATTGGTTTTTGCCCCCTTGTCGACCGTGTACTTCTTCAATCCTGGTTAGGTTCTTCTTTAGTAACACGTAGTTCGGACATATCAGATTTATCATTATTGCATGGATCGATTTTCCCATTATTGATATGATCATACCGCATACTGTCTTCATTATTCATAAGTATACTAGGCTCATTTAGGCGTTTGTTTATTTGGTCACAGTGTGCTAACGTACCCGAAGAGTTATTCCTTAATATGATCGCAGTGTTTGGACCTGCCTGAGAGATGAATGAGGCAGGTTCAGGTTTGGAATCTGGTCTTTGGCGGTACCATAAAGGTCTTCCACTTTCGAAACTCATGGTGAGAGGGGATCTCAACTACCTTCCCATCATCTCGGAAGGACTCCTTGATCTTCCTGCATAAGGTATTGTTCTGTAACTTAAAAGCATTCTGCTTAAATATCCACATAATAAACCTATGTCCGGTAAATAAGCTTTTAAACCCATCTTGACTGTCTCTACCATTCTTTCAGCTGCTCCGTTAGATTGAGGATGGTAAGGTGGAGTCTTATATGGTACGCAACCTATTTTCTTTAGTCACTGGTGTAAGGTGGTATCATGAAATTCCGCAGCATTGTTGGATACTAAAACCTCTGGAACTCCATTTCTTGAAAAAACACTTTGTAGTATTGCCTTTACAGTGGTCGCTTCACGGTTATTTACCTTAATAACTTCCGGCCATCCAGAAAAAGAATCTACTAAAATCAAAAACAGTACATGTGCATGATCCATATGTACTCTACACCAAGGTTTATTTTCACTTGGCCA